ACTTAACCGAATCGGCCAAACAATCATTCGGCTAATTTTTATCAGGTGTTTCAGGAATTATGATAATAGCTGTAATAAAGTTATTGATAAAGGTCTGGTTGGCCCGACCCGAAAAGTTAATAAGTTTTCATAGTAAAATTTCGGGTTAACCCGAACCAGTTCGGAGTGTTCAGTCATTTTATTGGATGCTGTAATAAATGACTGCAACATTATATGATAGTAAGGTCACACAATAACATTATTTAATGTTACGAATGTAATGTAATATTAATATAGTGTTACGATTTGTTAAAATAATTAAATTTAATATAAAATATGCATGTACAGAAAGAGCGCCGAATTTTTGATACTTTTCATTATTCAAATTAATTAGTTCATATCTGAACGAAAATATTGTTCAGTATAAAATTTACAAACTATGCAGAAAAACTACATAGCGACTATCATTCACTAAAACACCTCACCATATAACTTTAGTTACAACAAATGCCGGGTAAAGGAAAAAATAGCAAAAGTAGTACTGATACTACTGATACTACTGATAATTCTTCGGCCGCCGTTTCTCCAGCCAGTGTTTCTAATTCCAATGGCAGTGCGGCCGCTCCTGATAGTAATGTTCCTGCGGTTTCAACACCTTCACCCGACGTTCAGCAACCTCAGAGTGATTCCCAAAATTCACAATCAGTGGACTCAAAACCAGTGGCCTCACAATCAGTGGACTCACAATCAGTGGACTCACAACCTCAACCCACATCACCAACTAACTCGCAATTAGCTGCACAACCTCAAGCAGTTGCATCATCTCCTCCCCAACAAGCAGTACAACCATCTCAAGCTACAAATCCTGCAATGATTGCAACAGCACCAATAGTATATACTGCTTTATTAACTCCAACAAATACTATTGCTCAATCCATGAATAATAAATTTCTCGTTAATTCCGCAACCGCTTTACCTAGTGCTTCTCCGACCTCTGATAGTAGCAATTCCAACGATGGTTCATCAAATGATCCATCAAATAGTCAAAATAATGCATTGATAGGAGTAATTATAGGCCTTGTTGTTGTCGCAGTTGTGGTATTTTTAGTAGTAAAGAAACGCTTACGCAAATCTAGTAGAGATAAATACAGGGTAAATGCGAATATCTTAGATGATAATAGAGAATTTAATGTTGAAGATTTTCATAAAGATTTAGGTGTTGAAAATCCTCACAACGCTGTAGATTATCAGAATTATAATCGTTATACTAATAGTTATAACGATTATTAATTTTGAGGGAACAAGATATTAAAATATTTTAATCTAATTAATTTTAATAATTTAATAGCTTTTTTTTTTTATAATTAATAGAAGCCTTATAAATAGGTGTTCTAAATATTAAGAAAGCGAAAAATAATCATAATGGAGTCTCTTTACCATCTTTTATCTATATTATTATCTATGGCTTTAAAAATTGAAACATATTGTATTTACAATATTATCATTAAAATATTTGTATTTTTTTATTTTATCGTTATCATAAAATTTCTTTTGGAGGGAAGTCATGTTGTTGTTAATATTTAGTTGAAACGTTAATTCTAACTTTATTTCACTCCTTTATTTATAATACGTAGTTATTATTTAAGTTATTGATAATAATTTAACTTGTACACAGTGTTGGCTTCGGACAAAAATTGGACAATTGGACAATTGGACATATAAAATTTTATATGTTCAATTCAGATTGACATATAGACGGATCCAACACTGCCTGTACATAATGGTAATTACATCATTAGTAATTTCTTTTTACATGTATTGTCTGTATACTTTCATAAAAGTGAAATAAATTTGGAAAAGTTCTTACAATTGCTAAATAACGAATTACATTAGGATAACAAAAGTTTCTTTCATTCATATATCATGCACGTTGGCAAGGGATGATGGATCGAAAGGAAAGGGAAGAACTAGGTAGGGCTATGTGCCAAGTGCTACATCCCTGCTCCGATCGATCACGATGAGAAAGGCGTAAACAAGATATAATAATAGAAAAGCTATCGACACAATTGAAATATATAAAAAAAAAAAAAACAATAAAATCGCTTCAACACTCTTTCACAATAGTCTTAAACAAAATTTCTCGACCAACCCTTTCTATTACACGCAAATTCTGCCACTTTTCTATTTAACAACCCGACATTCATTTCTGGAATAAATGAAAATTTAACCGATGATCATTCAGCAAGTCGATAGTCATTAAAGACTTTTTTTCGGTCCCAAAGTTTGAGACTAGTTGTAATCAGTGACTTATGCTTCAGATTTAGTTCCTGATTATTAAATCGATATAAGAATTTATTTTAAATAATTATTTGATTCGTTAAATTCGAAAAAATGATAATGCCGACTCCTAAATACTATTCATACTATTGTGAAGGGGGGGACGTGATGGGTTTAGTGGCGTCGATGATCAATGATTCTACAGTACTTATTTTTATTATTGTTATGATTTACACATTAAACACATTGAGAGCTCCATTCGAAAAAGACGTGTTAGATCTGAAGAGTGGTGTGACAGGTTTTAGGACAGTTTACACCACTTTGAGAACCAAACAATGTCTATCTAACCTCAACGGTCCACGCATATTCGAGATTATTGAACACATAACCCTTTGGGCGATTTGCACTAACCACAACTAATTCTGTATGTTGAATTAGCCAGGTAGAGTTTGGAGGGATTTTAATAGTAATCTTGAGTTAGTTTAGACACTTTACTTGTTCTCGAGGACGAATATTTTATGATATAGCAAAATCCTATTTTTTCTTTTTTCCAAAATGTATTCACATAATAAATATATACATGTTACATATGACTAATGAAAACTAATATTCACTATATCCATTGGTTGACAATAATCTCTTTTTCATCGTTCATATTTGTCACACTAGCTGATCGGTTGTATGTAACGAAAACAAAAAATGTGATCGGTTCTCAAAATTTGGTGATTGATTAGGAATGCGCCCCAACAAAGATTGATTATAGTTATTTAATGATTTGCATATTGACAGATTTTAAGTTACACAAAATTTAAAGTACACCTTGGCGTCCCAAAGTGAGAAATTATAAAATAATTGGATTGCAAAATCTATTCCAAATGATTCATTGGCACTCTTTGGTACTTTTGAGATGTTTTGGTTCGAATATTTTCATATCCTTCATAAATATCATCTTTGGTAATTTTACTATCCGAAAGACGCAATTTGACTTTTTCATACTAAAAGTCATATTTTGATGGCTTTTTAAATCAAGCTTGTTAAACAAGCCTTCAGCGTATTGTTGGCGAGTATCAATATAATATGTATAGTATCTAAGTTTTATCATAAATTTGTTATCTGGCATATCGGCAGGGTAATAGCAAAAGCACGTGGCCGAAGGCCTCGTGCGTTGCAATTACACTGTCTATGTTCATGATCCGTACATCATGCCAGATAACTAGTTTATCTTGCAGGTATGACGTATACACTTACAGAAGGAATTTTATATTACTTCCGCAGATTTTTATATTAAAATTAATAAGAATTTGTCACATGATTTTAATAAAAATTTGCGGAAGTTTTTTCCGTCAGTGTTTACATAGTACCTGCCGGATAATAGTTTTTATTGTTATAACAATATTTATTATTTAATGTTTTGATTAATTGCACAAAATTTTCTATAGTTATTAACAAAGCACATTTTATTAAAATTTAGTTTTTTTAAATACTATTTACACTTTACAAAATTGAAAATTTCATAATATTAACGAAGTAGTTAGCTTTTAAAAATGATATAGTTTCTATAGCAATCAAAGATTAAAGTGCATTTTGTTTTTTAAAACCATTTATACTTACAAAAATAAAAAAATTCGTAATATTGACAAAGTTATTAATTTTAAAATGATAGTTCAATATAAATTTGCTGTTTTTAAAGTCTAACTACTTTATGAATATTGCAAATTTGTTAGTTCTATAATACTTAAAGAGCCAAATTTAACTTTCAATTGCTAATGAAAAAATTTATTAAGAACACGTGTAACCTAAAAATTTAGATAAATAATTAAATAACAAAATATATAGGTATATATTTGAATTTATTAGTTGAGGCGCAACCCTAGTGATCGATTGTTATACAGTACAGTACTAAGTTACAACGTTGATTTATATCAGTTTGGAACCGGTTAATTTTTCATCTGTTGGACCGATTTTAATCGGTTTTAACATTTGAAAAATAGAATCGGTTTCAAACCCTATTTGAGGCTGGTCACGTTTTCTAGTGTTGGTGGCAAAATTCGCTGCGCCGAATTCGACGTCACGGGACCCGAAAACGTGACGAAGCCCCGATTCGAAGCTCCCACGAAATCGCGGAGAAATCGTGAGGAAAAAGTTCCCACAAAGCCCCAAGGCCACAAGAACCTATGTTTGGGGCAGTGCCGGAAGCTTAGCCGGAGGAGGCAAAGCGATAATGGCATCATGAAATGGGCTGAGGCTTAGATTAGAAAAAAGTTCGATTTTGTTCTCCCCCCCACATGTAAATTTTGGGCTTGTTTCGCCCTCTAATAAAAGAGAGGAGTGTTTGCTCAATAAAAGTCGCTCTTTGGTCCCATCATATACTCGATACGCCTTAGTCTTGCCAAATCTTAATCGCCTCTACGATCGAGTATATCGGGTGGTTTGTTTGTTGGTTGTGTTTTTGGTGGTAATTGGCTGGTTCGTGTTGTGACTAGAGATGGGTTTCATGCGTGCGCATGATTCATCAATCGTGCGCATTAATGCGTATTCATGCGCATGTTTCGGAATCATGCGCATTTTATCCCATCTAAATTTTATATAGGAAAATTAAAGTATATTTAATTTAGGCCAAGGTGTATAATGCCAGGCAAAATTAAGAAATAGGAATGCAGAAGTTTTGAAAAATTCCTAAAAAAAAATGAATGAACATAAAGATGAGAGGGTCGGGGAAAAATTTTTGGCAAATCTCTGATATTTTCCGGAGGAAAATATAAAATCAAAAAAATTATATCATGCGATATCATGCGCATTTTATATAACGTGCGCATTAATGCGCATTAATGCGCATGTTATTATAAAATGCGCATTTTTCCCATCTCTAGTTGTGACCCGTTGCCACCAACACTAGCCTTACAACGCATACAATAATTTATCTACAACAGCGTTTCAGATTCGTTAAATTTTCGAAATTCGGGTTATAATCAGATTTATAACTATTATCATAAATACTGTGACGACTGAATAAGAACCGAAAAGTTTCTGATACGGGTAACCCATTGAATTTATCGATTCAGTCATCGCAATTTTTCGGATTTACAATAATACAGAGACCACCCTAATGCACCCACTCGGGACCATAGTAAAAAATTTCAAAAATGTGCACTTAGAGAGGGTGTGCATTTATAGAGAGCAAAATATACAGTGCTATTATAAGCTGGGGCCAATAAAGAGATTTTACATAAAAGGTGCATCTGAAAAAAAAAATTGAATTTAAATCCGGAAGTCGAATTCAGATCTAATCTTTATAAGATAAATAGCTTTTCTTAAAACTAAATCAATGTGAATAAGAAATCTTAATGCGTACGTATTTCGATTGATAGATTATATAAATAAAACTAAATGAGATGTGACTGAAAATAATAGTTGTCAATAAAATTTTTATTAAATTAGACTTTAATTCATATGTTGTTTCAATTAAAAATTTTACGCGATACAGTAAATTTTTGCGAAAATTTATTTAATCGTTCGCATGAAATTTATTTATTACAGTACTAAAAAAACTTGAAAGTGCTAAAACTCAAAAGAGCAAACACGGTAGTATTAAACAGCGAAAAGAATTATTTTTTTTTTAAAAAAAAAAAAATTTTTCCGACAAACTATATAAGTAAATTTGTCGAGCTGTTTTTTTATTGATTCTGCAGGCATTAGATTAAATAAAAAAATTCTTCACAAATTAGTTATGCGGATGTGATATTACTAGTGCTACAACTAAGTAACTCGGGCTATTCGAAATAACCCGGTTTGTGATTGGATAAATATCTTATAAACGGGCAACCCAGGCCAGATTTCTGGGCGTTAATCAACCAAGAGTTAGTCGATTAAATTGGTTCAAGAGAGTAGTATCGATTAATTGTCAACTTGACCAACTAATCAAAATTTTCAATTTTCGATTTGTTTATTACATTCACCTTTAAGCAATGTTGTAACTAAACAATTTTGGACATTTGACAAAAAATAAATCGAGCTACTTAAAATTTTATTATGTTAATATTTGTTAATTTTCTATTTAAGGTGCTTAAATTAAGCGAAAAAAAATCATATATTTTTCATATAAATGTTTTTTAAATATTTAAGGCTGGGCTTGGAAATTCTTGAATATAGATAAAAAAAGCTTTATTACGTTCGAGACATATAAAGTAGATAAACAGAGACCAAAAAAAAAAAAAGAAATCTATTGAAAGGTTTAAGATATGAGAAAAATGTGAGCAAAAAAAAAAAAAAAAAAAAAAGAGTTAAAAATGTTCATGTTAACAATAAGAAATGAGATGTTAAAAAATGTCCGAGTTTAAAGGTAGAAAAAAAAAAATTAAGAATGGACAAAGTATGTCAGTGAAATAATAAAAAACAATTAGTATATAATCATAAAAAATCTCTATATACAAAAAGAAAAAAAGTTTATGTACACATATATATACAGGTCTATTAATATTTACAAATAGCAAAAAAACAAACCCGAATTTATCATAAAACGATGGCTAAGCTCTACATCTGAAAACTAAACGTTCACTAGGAAGGTGAATATCTTTCTATTGAATAAAAAAATAAAAATAAATAAATAAAAAAAAAGAACTTTCCATGATTATAAATTGAAGCTGAAAGCGGTAATTCTATTACGTAGGGAAATTGAAAGGGAATTCTATAGGTGATATGATGTAGGAAAATTGAAGCTAAAAGGGGTAATTCTAATAGATGATATGATGTGATGTAGGAATATTGACGGTAATTTAATAAGCAATATATTGTAGAAAAAATTATAAAAGTCCTTGAAATTGATTTAAAAAAAAAAAAAGTCTTCATAATTGGATTTAATTCAAAACAAAGGGAAAGTTTGATTTAAAATTGAAAAGTTTTCTATGTTATAGAATCTTAATATTAAAAAAAATATTATATCATAATTCAAAAAATGATTGCCAGTCGATTCCAAAATCAAATGGTGCTTGGGGATCGGTCGAGTATTGACTTATTTCTTCCAAATTAAACAATGGTGTTGTTTGGAGATTCGTGGTAGAGTTGATAAGAGACGATATTTGATTTGCGTCATCAAAATCTATCAGTGGAATATTTGGAGATGGTATATATGTTGATGTATAAGTTGAATTATTTGATATGCTATGATTAAATGAAAACTCATATTCTGTATGATTCGGGGAATAATACACTCGATCAATCGGGATTTGTAAACGATCATTCGGGATTTGTAGCGTCAAGTTTGGTCGATCACCGTCTGAATGTGTTGAAGTCGGAGATCGTGAGATGGGTTCACGATTTCGGGTTTCTTGTCTTGTTTGACGATTTTCACGACTTGGTGAACGAGATAACCGATTTTGTTGTCTACTGATGGTCCTGGACGGTCGAACTTCAGAAAATGTTTGTTCGCGGCTTGTTAGAAAATCTCCTGCAAAATCCCCGTTTACCGTTGATAACATTGATTCGTCCCTTACTAAAGTATTATCATTAAAATTTACGCTTGGATTTTCTTGAGGGAATAACGTTAGTTCACTATGGTTTCCATCTAAATCACCATTTACCAAGTTTCCGCCTGATGTAATTCCCTGCTCGCTCTTTGAAGAGATCTCAATATGGCTTCCGTTTGGTGGATTTACTTGTCCATTATTTAAAGAGCTCCCAGTAAAATTTCCGCTTAAATGAATGTTTTGACCAAAATCGGACGCCGAAGAATTCCCGGTTGACATATTTTGGATGTATTGGCTACAGCGTACTTATCTTTACCTAGCAATTCCCACAATTTTTTACCCCAATTTTGGAATTCTATATTTGATGGCATACCCGTAGTCGATCCGAGTGCTTTTTTAGGACCCCTCTTTTGTTGTTGTTCGAATTTACATTCTAATTTATTGCTGAAGCATATCTTACATGATCCTTTACTTTCTTCATAATCGCACTTAACTTTTCTTCTTTTACATTCACTACAGGCTGCAGTATTTTTACTGGATATAGGTTTTTTACCGTCCAGGTCCTTTTTTGAGTTACTCAGGTTTTGTGTCATTTTGTGTGACAAGGATTTAAAATGACAATATACGTGTATTTTATTATATATCAAATTATATATTCTCGATTATTCTTACTACGTAAAATTATGGTACTTTTTATTATATTTTCACTCTTAACGGATTAAAACAGGATTAATTTTCATTACACAATTTACACAATTTTTATACAAATTACCATTTCAATTTATTAGAATATTCGATTTACTCCAGAAGCAAATCTTATCCAAAAAATATTCTTATTTTTTATTTTGACGGATACAAAGAAATAGTACGTACGTACGTACGTACATACGTATGTACAATGTTGTACACGGGACGGTTGGGACAAAACTGGGACATATTTGGGACAAATTTAAAGTCCTCAAAATTTTATTAAGATAGTCTTCTTTCGACCCTTAAGTAAAAATGATTAGAATTTAATTTTACATATATTTTATTCTTGTTTTTTCAAATTAAAATTGGGAAATTGATGAGAAAAGTTGGGATGTCCCGGGACGGGAAAGACCAAAAAAGCTCAGGACTGTCAAAATGCACAACACTGCGTGCGTACGTATTTGATTTTCCGGAGAATAAAGCCCAAAAAGAAAACATTTATACAATTAGTACGTAAAAATTTTCATTGACAAAAATCATTTAATAGTAAAGTACGTACAGTATAGTTCTTCAAAACTTTGTTTTTTTTTGATATATACATATATGTAACATATTTAAGGAATAAATAGATGCTTAAAAAAAATCCGGATCACAAACTGTTCTTTCACAAGATTGTTCCCAAAATGTAGACATTTATCTTAACAATGAAATTGTGACACTGTATTATTAAAACATAGAGCCTATGCCTACGCCTATTATGCTTTAGTAGTACCGTATTGGCACTTGAAGAATACTATTTGTAACCAAATAATTTATTACTCATTCGTCATGAAGACTGCCTTGTCATAATGGAATCATGACAAACCATTATTATATTTTCGACGGAGGTAGTACGTACTGTAAAATTATTAATTTGATTTTGTAAATCGTAAATTCGAATACTTTTTATTTTTTGTCAATTCGAACACGTTTTATATTACGTTATTATATGAGTGCTGTCAAGGGAAAACCTGTCATCGGGCATTCAATTATATTTTGTGTACAGTTAACCGTTAGTTAGCCGTCTATGGAGGTCGTCTAAAGCCAGATAGTTTTGTAAATTAAAATCACGTGATGCATATAGATTATCAAGACGGCAGGAAATTAAATAAGTGCAAATCTGAAAAAATCCGCGAAAATGCAGATTTTTGCAGAATTTTTTGCAAAAAACTGCAAAATTTTTTATATTTTGAAATTTTGCACAGAACTGTATTTAATTTCTGTAGCTATAGCTGGCGAGTCTGAAATTTTGCAGATTTTCATTTATTTTATTATTTAATTTTTTTGCAAATCTGCACAGAACAGCACTAAAAAATTTTTCCTGTGTACACACAATATAACCGATGACAGATTTTCCCTTGGTTGCGCTCATGTATTATTATTGATATCATCAGAAAAATACATCTATTTCGTTTTCTGATTTTAGAAGTGGGATTTTTTAACTTCCACTTATTTTCGGAATAATTTATAGCGCTTTGCAAAAAGATGTGAACAAGTGATTTTAGTGATGGTGATGGCTGATAATCACTAAGGTTCCAGATTGTCTGTTTTATATTTTCGATTGGTTACGTTAAGTTTTTAAAATCTCAAAAAATCTATAAAATCTCCGATTCTCATGAAAAAATGATCTGCAGTGTTCACATCTTTTTGCAAGCGCAATAATTTTGAACCACCCTAATATAAAATTTTTCGATGACTATAATTCTCAACGCAGTTTCGACAAATCTTAATAAAATATTGGTTGTTTAGAACTTTGCGCTATATTTTTTTAATCCGGTCAATATATTCTTTATCATATCAACTTTTTTATTAGCACCTTATCTTACCGTATATTCGTAACCTTTTTCATTTAAGTCTGTTGGTTGGCAAGAAAAATTTTCGCACAGGCTCAACACACTAGAAATACTAAGCAAGTATTCAAGCGAGAACTTAATATTGAATGTGTTAACATTGTACGTAGTACCGTTCAGAATACTGTTGCTACGTATTAAAAATACCTATATGTAAATATACCCCAACTAAAAATTTATCACTGCCGAATCAAAACCAATTGAATCGGCCAAATAATCATTCAGTCAATTTTTTACCAGATATCCCAAAATTAATGAGAACAGCTGTAAAGTTAAGATTTGGGCTTTGAGATAATCGACCCGACCGGTGTTAAGAAAATTTTGTGCTTAAATTTTCTTTGTTATATTCTCTATATTATACAGTCTACTCTCGTTTATATCAACTCATTCGAATTGGTTTAAATTCATGTTAATAGTGAGTTGATAGTGATATTAACAAAGGATTATATTAAAGTTGATATATATAAGATAATTTCAATATATAAAAATTTGTAAAAATTTATCCTATGACTTAGGTTGATATTAATGAGGGCAGACTATATTATCATTCTTTACTATATATATTTGTTAGTGCTATTGATATGATATAGCTGTGCATAGTTTAGAACCACAGATATGGTTCGAGACCATAAATCTTGGTTCGGAACCACTAATCTTGGTTCGAGACCACAGATCATGGTTCTCGACCATGGCTATTTTGCAATGTATAAATGTGACAACTAAACTGATAAAGAGAAATAATAAATTTGAGATAGTTCCGCACGAGTCAATAAATAAAGTACCTTATGAATCGTATACTAACCAAATATATTCCTTAATAACCATTATCATTAATTCCGAATCTTTTATAAACATTCATCTCGCATAACCTATGCTTGTAACCCTGAGCTAATTTGACCTCACGTTAGCCAAGTCTCTCCCACGTTTACAACCATAAACCGGTATTTTACATGATAATTTTGTTAAAAATATCATCGATATGATTATTTTTTTAAATATGATAAAAGTTAATTGTATAAATGTACACAATAATTATTATTTTACATTCATATACATTATGGAAAATAGACCTCAACGGCCAGAGATATGCTTGTAATCCTTTAGAAGACTCTCCTTACAATCTGTTTCCTGAATAAACTATACATTTTGCTTTTTAGGTATGGATATAATAATGTACATATTATTTTATATTTTGCCACACAATCTAATTGAAGGATTATCTCTCCCTAATGATATCTAACACATAATGTGCGTCAACATATCTTTCAGCGTTCTCATCATCTTCAAAAGTAAGTAAATATCGTGAAGTTTTTGGTGTTAATTTACCCGGTGGAATAACTACGACAGCTTTGTAAAAACGTGTGTGAGGATATAATGCTATGACTGTTGAAATTCTGGTGAACGCATTTCTCCAGGATTTGGAAGTGCTATAACATTTTTCATTGGTGCTATAAATCGTCTGTATTAAAGGATAAGAACATGAGATCGAAGAATAGAAAATGTGAAAAATGGGAACAAAGCATAGCAAGCAAATTAGAAAGTGGCTTACACTCCAGACATATTTGATGCTTCGTCTTTATCCGCATCCTCAACTTTGTAACTTAATTATTTCAGATGAATTATTAGAATTAGGGGTACAGGTATGGCAGATAGTGTAAAACCCTTAGCATAGCACAACCACTTTGGGCGGACTACTTAAATTAAGCACCAAAAGTGCACATGTGGTTTGATGTACCTTCGTTACAATGTATAGTGTTTGAATTTGACTTAATAAAATTTGCTGACCAAGAAGGTCTCTTTAAATTAAAAAATAATAATAATAAAAATAAATAAACATTAAGCTTTAACTATGAAGAATAACAATAAATTGACTGGTACAATGTGTATATCCTGTGAATTTTAATCATATGCATAAATAAATATGTATGATAATCTACAAAAAAAAAATTACATACCTTCTATCTTTGCATCACATGAACAATTATGAATACAGAACAAGAAGTTATGTCTGGTGTAATATCTTTAAGTGGTAGTAAATCTGAGTTGAAAGAAAATTCTGATGGTGATGTCTTTACAAGATACTTCAAAAAACATATCAACTTATCAAAACTGAAGTAAGAAAAAAAAATAATTAATGAAATTAGGACAACTTTGCTTATTTATAAAAATAGCGATGAAAATAATGATAAGTCTAATAAAAATCAATCAACTAATAATATACAACCTGAAAGTAGTTCTTGTACTGATAAACTCTTTAAACCTAATCTTAAACACCTTTAGCTTGTGCTTATTAATCAAGTGCCCCAAAAAAGTTAGGTATAAAATTATTACCAACTGTACAAGCCTGTTTTTTCCTATAAATGGATACTTAGTTGCTTGATTGAAATTAATAGAAAAGATGAACTTCACCTATATGGTTATTTGATGAAAGCAATAGACAGTTCAACAAGTAATTTTATTGGGCATTTGGTATCACAGCATGTGATTACAGAAGAATTATACAAACAAAAACTTAGTAAATGATCTACACAACAAAATATTAGTCAAGTGTTTCAAAACATAGTAGCAAATAATTCTAAATAAAAAATAAGCTGAGATCAAAAGTTTGTAAGTATGTTAGTTAAGAATCAATCATCTATAATTATATAAGCTGGAACTGGCTTTGTTGAGTTTTTAGCAGATTTTGATTCCAATTACAAGTTACCTAGTGTAAAACTTTGCCAAACATTACTTATAGATGCTTATATAAATTCCAAAGAAAATCTTAAAAAAATATTTAGCAATAATATTATATTTTGTTCTCTAACTTGTAATTTTTGGACAAAACATAAGTATCTTGAAGTTACGTGTTTCTTTATTGATAATAACTTCCAGTTAAATGAATTGATTCTTGCAATTCAATATTTACCTTATTTTTACACTAGAGAATCAATTGCTGAGATATTGAATTTAATAATTGATAAATGGAATTAATTAATAAAGTTTTTACTATTACAACAGATAACAGAAGCAACATGATTAAAGCTATAAGATATATATCAAATGTTATTTGAATTCTGTGTACAGCTTATACCTTGCAAGTTGTTATTAGAAAAGAATTAACGAAAGCAGAACTTCTTATAGCATAACTACACCTAAGCAAACGGGGAGGTTAATAAATACACAAAAAAATTTACAACAATATAAAATATAGTAAGCATTTTTTTAATTTTATATATTTAGTATAAATAGTCTAGTTTATCAAGCTATTTTAAATATATAATGCTAGAATTTTGCTAATTATTAATCAAATTTGATTAATTTGTTAAAGTTTTAAATTTGTTTTTAAAAATTAGAAAATTTTAAATATATAGTGAGGTACCATATTATTATGGACACTTTTCAAACCTTTATATTAAGCTAAATAAATAAGATATAAAGCTAAAAATCATACAAAATATAATCTAAATCTAAAGCTTTTAAATAAAAAAATTATAAAATTCTATGCAGTACTTTTTGAAATAATCAAGTTTAAAAATTTTTTGAATTTTTTCATTTGTACAATTTACTAGTTTTTAATAAATTTAGTATGAATTTATATATAATTTTTAGTATATATAAAACTTAATTTTTAGCAAGTATACTAGCAATTTTTTTTAATAAAGTTATTTAATATGATAAATTGTATATTTCTTGAAAATTTTATAATTTTTTAAAAAATATTTAGTAAATTACTATATATATTAATAAAATTACTATATTTAGTAATTTGTTAATTTTATTTTAATAATTTAATATTGACTTTAAATAATAATATTTAGCTTAAAATTTTTTAAAAATTTTTAAAAATTTAGAATTATATATAATTTATTATACTGAACAAATTTTACATAGTTTACTTAATAAAAAAATTTTTTTAATATACAGTAATTATGATAACTAATTTTGTACAAGTATAATATTACACAAAATTGTATAATCTTAATTTTAAAAAAACTACTGTATAGAATTTTGCAAATTTTTTTTTTTTAAAAGATATAGATTTTATAATTTAATTTTTAGCTTAATATCTTACATATTTAGGGCACTGATATTAATTACGTAATTTTTTAGGGGGTGGGGAGGTTGAGAATGTACTATATCAATATCTTATATTACACAAAGAAAATTAATTCTTTTTAAATTTGCCAATTATATTGAAGCTTATGTGGGGGGAAGGGGGGGAGCTCTCATAGTAAATGGAAATTATGTAATTAATGTCAGCGCTCTTAGCTCTGTGCAACTTTTTAAAAAGTGTCCGTAATAATATGGTAGAGTACTATATTTTATATACATATATATACTGTAAATATTTATATATATTATATTTAATACAAACTCATTAGATTAGATCTTCTTGTATTTATTAAATAGTAGTTTCAAGCAAGTATATATATATCAGATGTTAATTTAACTTTTTTTATATTCTAAAATTTTTTTTTTTTTTTTTATTACTTCGGCAAGTCTAGACATAACTTGGTCCAGCTATCTTTATAGTTGACCCTATGCTACTAGTATCACAGAACCTCTATAATTCCCATACGAGAATCATGTGTATCTACCTGGGATCCCATTGCCTGCCATTTCTCCGGTTCCCTCATTGGGGCCTAGATCTGACCGCCTGCATAACACTCCGGAGAGGTTAAAACACCTTAATATTAGACTGGGATTTCACCAGCCAATCCGGTAGTGCCACAAGTTCTTGTAGTATCTTCTCAGACTTTGGCCTCACAGTACGTCTCATAACTTCAGTTATTCCAAATCGGGGTTCTAACAAGCCTCGCTTCACAGCCACAACTTCTTAGAATAACTATTCCCCGAATATGTTCATCCGTAGATGTCCTGAGTTCCCTGTACCCCACAGTGTTTCACTTCCATATTTGGGTTTTCATTATTTCACCGCTGGGAGGAATTGAACCAGCAACTGTCCGATTTGCAACCTGGGAGCATAACCGCTATGCTATCAACCCGCAGGTCATATATTTTAAAAATAGAAAGTAAATATAATTTTAAAATATTAAATATAATTAGACTACTCACAATATATATAAATTTATCTGTATAAACTAATTAATTATGTGCTATATTTTAGAATTTAGAGAATAATAATCACCAGTTATGAATTATTGCTGACATTCCTACAAGGTAAAATTCATCCTACCTTTCATGGCAATGATTTATACAAATTCAGGATATTATCAATATAATAATTACAAATTTAATATTAGATGATAATTTATAAAATCAAAAAGATAGCTCCTATTTAGAAAAAATCAATCTAATGAATGAAGAATAAAAAGCAATCACATTATTAACTACAATTTTAAAACTGTTTGCTAAACAACTGAATTATTAGGTAGTAGCAAATATGTTACTATGAGTTTTATATATAGTGAGATTAGTGTAATTAAGAAAGGACTTCTTTTTGATTTTGTTTTTGATGTTTTTAATGATGATATCATTTATGAAAGTGATGAAGAAATAGAAGAAAACTATATATTAGACCAAAGACAATAAATTAATATCAATAATGTACAAAATTATACAAATATTGAAGAAAAAGTGAGATCAGCATTATATGATACTATAGTATATTATTAGAATATACCTAGTAATAAAGCTATGCTAGCAATGCTTTTAGATCCTCGATATAAGCCTCTTTCTTTCATATCAGACTCTTTAAAAAAAAGAATATACGATTTACTTAAAATAGAATATGAAGAGTCAAAAGCTCTATATGATGTAGAAGAAAATAATAATATACAAAATTAGTCAAATTCTTTATTGGTCTTAATGTTTTATCATAATCGTTCATAGTTAGAAGTTTCAGATTATCTTGGAGCTTAGAAAATTCCATGGGATCAGTGTCCATTAACCTTGTAATGCAATAATCAAAAATGATATCCTGTGTTGAGTAAATTAGCTTGAAAATACTTGGCTACTTTAGCAACTTTCAACTGCAAGCAAAAGGCTTTTTAGTAATGCTAAAAATACAATAATAGTAAAATAAACATCGCTTTTGCCCACTACTTTTGAGCACTTAGTATTTTTAAGAAAGAATTGGCAGGTTACTGGAAGTGTATTTCCAGATACAAAAACTAATAGAACCTAATATATTTAAAAGGCAAATATTTTTGTTTTGCTTTTTTGATACATAACAATAAAACCAGATTATAACTAATATATATATGTTATGAAAAAGAGATATATTATATTTACCAGCTTAAGTTGTAATTATGAATATGAAAAAACTATCGATATAGGTATATATATATTGTACGAATTAGACTCAATTATTTTATACGTATAAATATATCTCAAATTAATTACTAATAATTCTTTTTGTAAAGGTGTAGTAACTTAGTGAAGTGGTAGAGTTGTCATCTCCAAGTGGCAGGTCTAGAGTTTGAATCTCACAGATGACGATTTTGAAAAATGGATCTGTGTTTCGGTTAACAGTTGTCGATTATTAGTTGGATCTTAATCTGTAATCTCAGTTATACCACCTAGTAATGGGAGCTTTGGCACAATAAATCCAAGGA